GAAAAATTGTAGGAAAATAAAGTTAGAAAAAAAAGACAATAGAATGAGGTTGTGATTGAAAAGAAATATAAACAATCACTGCTTTACTTTCACAATTAATGTAAAATTATCTTGATATTTAAAATTTATTGATCATATATTTATCATAGCCGCACTTCAACATTTCCAACAAATTTTAAATCGCTTAAAACTAATATTTGTAACATAAAATACTAAATGAAACGTAATAATTAAAAAAACTACTTAGTCGAGTCGAGCCGTCAAGCCATTTGGCTTATAAACACTAACCAGAACTAATCAAACATAAAACCGGGGGGAACCACAAAGGGCTTAGCCGAGTCGAGTCATAAAGCCACATGGCTCAGAGAAAAAACCAAAAAGGGTTTCGGTTTGGCTCGGCTTATGAACAGTAATCTGGAAACTCACTCTTTTATGTATGTATAAGATAAGAAATGAGTTGAAATAGCTATTTTTTATTATTTTTTTTTTAACTACTACAAAATAGTCTAAATAAGTTTATTTTTTAAAATCTACCAGTATAAACGGGGAGAATAAAATGAGAGTTTATTTACACTTCATTTCCCATGCACTTTGTCACCAAACGACTAGTGAAATTTCTTTCCTACCTATTGGTCCTTTTTCGAACTTTCTACTTAAAGCAGATCAAATAAACTTATAATCAAACTCAAAATTTGAAAATTTTGTAACTTCCTTATAGACTTCATGGCAGTGTCCAAAGTGTTCGCGAAATTATCAAAAAGTCCGAACGATATATTCTTATACCCTCTGAAAAAGAGGTTCAAGACTTTAAGAGTATCCGCTTGCTCCATCAATTCTAGGGGTGCACTTTAATCGAAATAAAAGCTCCTGAATCGGAATCGAACACGAACAATCGATTCTACTAAAAAAACATGGTTCTAGTTCCAAAAATTGAGAACCGGATAATTCTTATTTTTGAAAATTGAATCGATATCCGAACTGAACTTGATTCATCATATATATTGTTTCTTGACATCCTTTTAATACAACTTTTCTAAAATTTCTATGCACTACTAGAAATCCCAATTAAGTGATGTTATTCAATATGCATATCTAAATTGAATGGTTCTATTATGTAGAGTCCTACTATTTTCGTAGAAACTAATGATTTTATTTACAAAATACAAAAATTTTAATAAGTAGTTTCAATTCTTGAAAAAGTAGGACAGAACCACCTGATTTCTACCCCATATCAATTTGATGAACACTAATCATATGCATGCACAAGCCTCATACTTCTATTTTTTTGAGTCTTTGTGCTCAATCGATGTAGATGATAGGTCCCCTTCTACCTTAATTTTATACTCCCAAGTTCATTACAGTTCACACTAACTTGATTTTTTTTTCCTTCTCAATTTATGTCTTCGCCTACTTGCACTATTAAAAATTATTGAACTGCTTGTATATTTCCTATCTATGTTCTCCAATGAGGTTGATCACGAAAAAATTCCCTGAACTTTCTATCATTCAAATCTGCCCCCCTGAAGTTTCTGCACTGCAAATTGGCCATAGAAGTTTCAATCTTTGAAAATGTCCCAAAACATTCCATTATTTGCAAAGTGGTCCCTAAAACTTTTAGGATCTACAAAGTGGTCCATGAAGCAAATCAACCACTCCAATTTCAATCTTATACAAAAGGTTCATTAACTTTCTAAACATTTCATTTCGGTCACGAATCTTTCTATTTGTGACAAATTGATCCCTGAACAATCGGTTTGACATAAGTGGTCTTGAAAATTTTGAATGTTCAAATTAGGTCCTAAACTTTCACAATGTTGGAATATGCTCCTACATCTTCTACGAGATGGAATTCAGTCCTTGAGCTTTCGGAGTTGTTCAAATCAGTTCCAATTGCTCCATCTAATTAAAAAAAAGGGCTATTTAGCAACATCATTAGCCCAATTAAATGAAACACCCCACAAGGTCTTGGCTCAATGGTTTTGGTTTGATTGCAAGAGTTCTTGGTGGCGCTTCTAGCTTGTCTCGATTTGTTGTTGCTGGAAGTTTTCAGGTAAACAATGAAAAATAGAAGTATCTGGAAAAAAAAAAAAAAAGA